AAATAAAGTTTGCTTCATTACATTATGTTTAGATAGTGCTTATAGTGCTGTACCCCTTCAAAATAGTAACTTTTATCTATCACTTGCAATCTGTGTCAGACTGTTCTATCTCCTTTAAGTGTTAACTAGTTTAACCCTCTGCAAATATCTGAGGTAGGCTCTTTTTACAGATGGGGAAACAATCTTGGACTTTTATATTTTTTCTTAATGTTACACAGTAAGAGGCAGGGGGCCAGGTGCAGTGGTTGATGCCTGTAACTCCAGCACTTTGGGAGGCCGAGGTGGGCAGCTTGAGCCCAGGAGTTCAAGACCAGTCTGGGCAACATAGTAAAACCTGATCTCTCCAAAAAAAATGCAAAAATATTAGCCGGGCACGGTGGTGGGTGCCAGTAAGTCTGAGCTACTGGGGAGGCCGAGGTGGGAGGACTGACTGAACCCAGGAGGTCATGGCTGCAGTGAGCTGTCATGGAGCCACTGTACTCCAGCCTGGGGGAGAGCGAGACCCTGTCTTAAAAAAAAGGCAGGGATAGGGTTAAAACCCAGGCAGTTTTTCTTTATTGCCTCTAAACTTGCTTGCATTAAAAGATGATAAAATGTCCCAGTAAGCAGCCTAAATTCTTGAATGATACTACGTAACATTTGGATAGTCATCTATGTTGAATTGTGTAACTTTATGCTTGTCATTTAATTTTACAATTTGGTATAAGCCAATGTGAAAGTAAGGAGACTATTGTTGAGTAGGTGTTGTAAACTGAACACCATATTCAGCCTTGGGGTGCTGAATATTTAGTTCATAGCTAGGATTAAGAAATTCACCTATGTTAATAAAATACTGTGGATGAAGTCCTGCGTTTTAATTGAGATCAGTTCACTTACAGCTAAGGATCAAAGTTTAAACTTACATTGCAGCATTAGGGGCTATCCTTGTTGCTGGTTGAACAAGTCTTAGTCGTTTTTAATGTGGCTGCTTAGGGTTTTTTCTGAGGTTCTACTTCATTGGAAAGTGTTTGCATGTACACAAGAGTGACAGCAATATGAAACTCTTTGTTTGTATTCAAGGCAGCAGAGGTAAGCTGGATGGATAATATATGTGGAAAAGCAAGATACAGTTATACAATATATATAGATAATTTAAATTATTACCTCATGCCATCAGTTTGAGGGAGAGCATGTATCCCAACATTGTGGAGACTAAGTGCTCATTTATCCATAATTAAGATAAGCAAGCTTCCCCACTGTACTATAAAGTTAGAATTTGGGGCTGGGGTGGTAACCTTACACCTTTAATCCCAACCCTTTGGGAGGCTGAGGTGGGCAGATCACTTGAGGCCAGGAGTTAAAGGCTAGCTGAACGTGGGGAAACCCCGTCTCTACTAAAATACAATAATTAGTCAGGCGTGGTGACGCAGCCTGTAATCCCTCCCAGGGAGGCTGAGGAACGAGAATCATTTGAATCTGGGAGGTAGAAGTTGCAGTGAGCCAAGATCGTGCCACTGTACTCCAGCCTGGGCCAAAGAGTGAGACTGTTCCAAAAATAAAATAAAAAATAAAAATAGCTGGGTGTGGTGGCTCATGCCTGTAATCCCAGCACTTTGGGAGGCCAAGGCGGGCAGATCACGAGGTCAGGAGATCGAGACCATCCTCCTGGCTAACACAGTGAACCCCTATCTCTACTAAAAAAAAAAAAAAAAAAATTAGCTGGGTGTGGTGACACACGCCTGTAGTCCCAGCTACTTGGGTGGCTGAGGCAGGAGAATCGCTTGAACTCAGTGAGCTGAGAACGAGCCATTACACTCCAGCCTAGGTGACAAAGTGAGACTCTGTCTCAAAAAAAAAAAAAAAAAAAAAAAAAAAGATGGAATGGAATATGTTCCATTTAGTAAAGATGGGATGGATTTGGTACAATTTATGTTCATCGTAGCATACTCACCTTTTGAGCAACATTTTTTTTTTTAAAGGCTAAGCGTAACTTGAGAACAGCCTTTCTTAATTAGAGCAGAAGAAAAAGCCAGAGTGCTTTTGGACTGCCAAAATATTAATTTATCTCGAAGAAGAGCCACTTGTTGCTTAGAGACTTCTGACTTTATACAGAATTTGTAAAGTTTGAGAGCTGGCTACTTTGCAAAATGAAAGGGAAACATTTTAGAATAGCAGCTGGTGATTGATCTGGCAAAAATGAAAAGTAGAACTTGTGAAAAAATGAGATGCACTTGGTGTATGAATACCTAACTTTAGAAGACCTTGTGGGTAGTCTAAATCAGTGTAATAGTGGTGACTGAGCCGTAAAGTGTTAAATCATGATTATTTGAAGTATAAGAAGGCAGAAAAGTGTGATGGTGTTAGAAGAAAATTTCATTTCAAATGGTTGAAGGTTAAAAACAATTGGGAAAGGATTAGAGAGGGCAGGCACTGCTTTAAGGAAGGTGGAATACTTGGCTCCTTATTCTCCAAAAGTGCTGGATAAGTGGTTTTAAATATTCTGGATAAGTGATACTTGATTATTTAGGAGGGATTAGTATCTTCAGTGAACCTTGTAGCTCTAAGGTAGGCATGTTTAAACAACTACCATACTAAATGTGGGGAGTACATTTGGAAAGCACTTTGCTGGGCCAGCTGATGATATGCTTATGTAATATTTAAGAAAATCTGCTTATTGTCTGAAAAACATTTGGGGCTTCAGAATAATAGTACAACATGCCTCATGGTATTTTAATTTATTCATTTGTAATTGTTTTCTGTTTCTTAATAATTTTAAATTAAGGATATTTTCCCGATATAAACATTGCTTTTTGGTTAAATAAAATCAAAACTAGTTCTGTCTCCATATCTGAATAGACTAGAGAATTTTCTTGCCTTTCAACTTTAGCTTAAAAAATGTTTTTCTTAAAACTGTTGTGTTCAGGCTGAAATACTTTCAAACTTTGTTATTATTGAGAACTTTCTGTAATCACTGAAAGGGTAATTTAATAGTTAAATCTCAACTTAATCGAAGTTGTTTCTGTTGTGGAACTTGCATTGGACATCTTAGCAAGAGATCATTGCTTTATAGTCATTTCTTTTTCTCATTACAAAGATAGTATCCTCACCTTTATGGGTGAATGTGGGTTAATAACTTATGTCTAAAGGAAGTATTCTGGACCTGTAACTTAAAAATACGGTGTTTTTAGCAAATTATATAAATAAAGATTGTACATTAGAAGGTACACTATTCAAATTAAAATATATATTGAGAAAATAACTCAAATTTCTTCCATGGAATTGGCAAGAAGTAAACATTTCAAATACACAAAACATGATGGTTGTCTTTGTTATGTTCATTTGATTATAAAATACCAGAGTTGTTTTATACATGCTACTTCAAACCTGGAAACTTTGAGGAAGTCCTAAATATTAAGCATATAAATGGTCCAGTTCTAGAATAAATTTTGAAAAACTAACCTGAAGTGGGAAGTGCAGTATATACATCACACTTCTTTTGCACTAAAAGTTTGCTTTGTCAGTAGAAGTAAAACAAGTCTGTCTGGCGCGGTGGCACACGCCTGTAATCCCAGCACTTTGGGAGGCTGAGGTGGGGGGATCACCTGAGGTCAGGACTGACCAACATGGAGAAACCCCACCTCTAGTAAAAATAAAAAAATCAGCCTCGGAGGCTGAGGCAGGAGGCAGGAGGTGGAGGTTGCAGTGAGCCGAGATTGCGCCATTGCGCTCCAGCCTGGGCAACAAGAGCAAAACTTCGTTTGTATTAAAAAAAAAAGTCTGTGGTAAGATTGTAAGATCAGTAACACCTCAGTTAATCAGGTGTCTTCAAGGAAGTGAAGAAAAACCCTGCTTCTCAAAGGATAATTGGCCTTTTATTCCAAGAATGGGCCTTAGCTGGCAATATCTTGAAAGCCCACAAGATGGAGATGTTTCCTTATGAAAGGCCTTTAATTTCTTTATGGAGCTGAGTTAGTGTCACATCCTGGCCCCACGCATGACCCCTCCCCAGTAAAAAAACATGAGAAAATGTTGAGCAAGTCTGATTTGATTCCCATGGTAAAATTTTTAGCCATAACATAACAAATTCTGACAGTTTACCCTTAAAATTAAAAATCTCCAGTCCTGTCTTTTTAAAGGGTAGAAGGTAGGTATAGGGTAGCCTTTATTTATTTACTTATTTGCACAAAGGGAGCATATGTAAAACTGCCAGATCTGAACTTTCTGGTGTTTTGCTGTAATGTTTAGTAATATTTCATCTTAAAATCTTTCATTTTGAGTATATATACCTTTGGTCTTAGAGGGTCTTGGTGGTTTTTGATTACCACCCGTCACTTTTTGCGTTTTAAAGGCTTAAATACTTTATTGCTGGTTAACTGAGGTTCTACTGTAAATGAATGATCTAAGTTAATTAGTGGATTGTACTTCAATGGATAATTTTCACTAAATTGTTTACACTGCACATTACTTTTGTCTTAAGGACTCTTAGCACATCAAAATAATTGGTTCACAACTTAATTGTGAGATGTAGAATTTTCCATTTTATGTGCTGAGAGTTTTGTTAATGAAGAGAACTGTTAGAAAAGGAGCTTCAGCATAGACACCAATGCTGGTTGCTGAGATCAGTGGGGAACTGCATAGCCTTTTGACAAGTTTTAATGAACATTTGGAAGAGAAACTTGAAGCAAAGAAGCTAAGGTTCTGTCTTGCTGTTATCTATTTAATTTAATCTAAGAAAAATTTTTAAGTACAGTATTTTTACTTTGGGTATACATTTATCTTTTAGGAAGTTGGAAGACTTAATTTGCTGCTTGCTCACTATTTTGTAACTATTCAGGAGCAGCAGTAATAAGCTAGCTTTTTGGAATAGGATGTTCCTGATGTGTGGTTACGTAGGAGCAATGATGTTTTAATATACTGCCCAGTAAACTGGTGCAGTTTGGAAAAGGTGTGTTATTTATGTGGATAATATTTAAGGCAATTTTTTTTTTTTAGCATTTTAATACTGCTTTTTGTCTTTACAGGAAAATGTTTATAGGAGGCCTTAGCTGGGACACTACAAAGAAAGATCTGAAGGACTACTTTTCCAAATTTGGTGAAGTTGTAGACTGCACTCTGAAGTTAGATCCTATCACAGGGCGATCAAGGGGTTTTGGCTTTGTGCTATTTAAAGAATCGGAGAGTGTAGATAAGGTAGTGTGTTATGTGTTCTGATCAGTTAATAATATAAAATATTAACATGGATAGTTTGATACAATGAGTTTGCCTATTTTTGGTTTCCCCTTTTGATAGTATAGGAAGGAAGATAATAGTTCTTGCTAATACATTTTATGCAGATAGAGGCAGGTTTAGGAATTGTTTTCTGAATAATTTGTGTTGCAGGCGCTACTAACTTTTAAAATTAACTTTAAAGATACCATAGACTTATAGATGCCTGATTAAAAGGATGTGTTTTAACAGTTCACAGAAATACGTATTTTGAAATTTTGTTAGGCCAGCAACTTTTAACTGAATCATTATTTTGATCCTGGCTAAAGGGACGTAGCAGTCATGTTTGTATATATTGCTGACAGTTAAAAGGTAATGGTTATTTAGTAATTGGTTACATTTGTGTATTTCCTACCATCCTTAAGATGTAAACACTAATATGTGTTGGTTGATATGACATCACCACCATGACTTGACAGTTTAATCTTGAGCAAGTCAACATATACCTGGCATTACCTGTATTTAACTATAGCTACTTTTAAGTAAGTTAATATTCTCTGAACTTTAGTTAAGATACATTTTTTTTAAATGAAAACTTCAATTTCCTTAGGTTATGGATCAGAAAGAACATAAATTGAATGGGAAGGTGATTGATCCTAAAAGGGCCAAAGCCATGAAAACAAAAGAGCCGGTTAAAAAAATTTTTGTTGGTGGCCTTTCTCCAGATACACCTGAAGAGAAAATAAGGGAGTACTTTGGTGGTTTTGGTGAGGTATGTTATAACTGTTTTGACCCAGTTTATGTCAAAATTAGTGTGAATGTGATTGTCCCATTAAGTGGACTCAAAGTCACTGGGCTTTTCAAAGCTGTTAGGGCAGATTGTGTGATTTGTTTTTGAATGAGTATGTTGTAAATACTTTATTAGCAGGTCTTTGAAGGTTGGATGATGTGGTTTTTTATTTCCATTGAGCACCTATTCTGTGGAAAGTATTTCTGGGGTAGAGTATACAAAGATGAAATAGAAGAAATAAATTTTCTTGAGAAATTTATCAGATTAGAAGAAGTAAAAACAGACACAAGAGGAAGAAATTCACTTGTTCAGAATAGGAAAGGAATTAAGAATAGGGTGTAGCGCCTTATTAATTGAAACACATTTATAAGTGCCCATTTAATGAGAGTAGTAACTATAGACTCATTAGTAAGACTGGACGCGATGGCTCATGTCTGTAATAATCCCAGCACTTGGGAGGCTGAGGAGACCAGGAGTTGAAGACCATCCTGGGCAACATAGTGAGAACCGTCTCAATTAAAACAAACTTAGACTCATTAGTGAAATAGATAATAGAGGTTTTTTTAAATGAATTAATGATTTAAAGCCAAGTTGAGAAATTTGTGGGCTTGGGCTCCAGATACAACCTGCAGATATTTATTGCTTGGTTCAAACAATACATGTTTTTTTATTACTGAGGATTTGAGATATTGCACACAAAATGCAGTATCCAGCTTTTCTTAAATATTTGCAAGAGCATGCAGCATTGGAACTAACACTGCCCTTCTACACAGTAGCATCTCTAAAACTGAGTAGTAGCTTCCACATTGGTTTGGGGATGTAACTCTCCAGTTTTTAGTAGTCCTCACCACTCTACTACTTTCTGTTTTCTCTCAAATACATTTTTATTTCGTTTTTCTTAAATTTGACTGTTTTCTTCTTGTTCGTTGTCACCATTTGAGTTTGTGACCCTTGAGTTTAGGTAGGAAATGTCAGTAACCTGGTGTTGGTAAATAGTTGTGAAGACCTTAGATGGAATGGATCTTCTAATTTAAAGAATTCCTTAAAAGGATTAGAATAAACAGGAAGAAACAGGAGATGAATAGCTTCAGTGCGAAATACATGTTTTCTATGTGCATTTCCCCCCCTCTAAATGTGTGTGTGTGTTTTAAGATCAATAAAATGCGAGCTAGCATGTTAAAATTTGCTTTTTAATATCAGGTGGAATCCATAGAGCTCCCCATGGACAACAAGACCAATAAGAGGCGTGGCTTCTGCTTTATTACCTTTAAGGAAGAAGAACCAGTGAAGAAGATAATGGAAAAGAAATACCACAATGTTGGTCTTAGTAAAGTAAGTTAAGCATCTTTACTTGTAGAGAAAACTAGCTGTTATAAAGAATTTAATAATTTATCTTTCTCTATAAAGGCTTAAGTTCTTTGCATGCTTTAAAAACTTCTCTTTGGTTACTTATCATTGAGCAGCTTTTTGTGGGGAGCAGGACGGGTACATTTGTTATTTTTAGTGTTTTTGTCTGGGCTTTTACA